AAGGAAATAGATTTTATATACCATAACATACATAAACTTACAAACTTAATATATAATTTATATTTTCAACGTACAATACGTGTATTATGCGCGCACATTAAATACCTAATCAAAATGGCCAATATACCTAACACAAGACAAATACGAGTATAATGTACACAAATAAAACTTATAAAAATATAACTCATATTTTATGCTCATTGCTTCAACTACACAGTGCAAAATTTAAGACTAAGCTACCTAACATTAAAGATATCACGACTTGAGGGGTGCCGTGACTGACAAAAGTCTTGATTTTTTTTTTTTAGACATAATTCCTTTCTGCGAATTAAATTTTACCAACTACTAGAATTCATATAGCTGAACATAAATACTGATTTTAAATAATATTTATTTTTATAAATTATTTGTTTGCTGTAGTGAAATTGTAAAAATTTAGTATCAATAAATATAATATTATAATTTATAATCATCTAAATACTGATGAAACTGTACATTATATTATACACAATACAATTATTATATTTTTATATTTTCAACACTAGTTATACTCATTGCTCTGTAGTCTGTTGACTATATGTAATTTATTAAATGTTTTATGTATGTGCAAAAAATATTTCTATTTTTTAGTGCTTCATTAAAAAAAAAAAAAAACACTAACGATACAATTTTATTATTAAAATCACTATCACAGACCCGTTAGTCAGCAAAAATCGATGCGTGAATAGTCCATATTATGTGGTTATGAATTATTTTACGAAACTTTAAAGTACATTTCTTTAAATTCTTCAGAAAAATCCGCTATCAATGCCGAAGCCTTAGAGACATGTGATATTTTTGATAAGTTAGAAACAGGTATAATAACAATTTTTCGGAATGATAATTTACAGTGATTTTATAAAACTAATAAAACTTTTCAAAAAGTAACAATTAATTTGTATAATATTGAGTTATCATTGAAATCACTATTAAATTACATAAACGATTTGATGGACCATATTGATGATTATAAAGTCAAAGGAAAAATAATTTAAAAATACCAAATTTATGAAAAATTATAAACAAAGAAAAAATAAATATTTTTAAATGACTTGATAAACATGTCAACAATTAAATCATTTTAAAATAAAATTAGTTATGAAAACCAATACTTTTTTGTAATAATTGAAAACCTGATATTAGAATTATTAGACAAATCAAAATCCTACATTAGACTTGATAGACTATCCAGTTTTTATTTAATGCTTGATATTTATATATCCAAATATATTAAAAGATATAACGAAAAGATTAGTTTAAAAATATTAATATTACTTATATTCTAGAAGAAGATAAGTTATACTTATGAAGATTTTTTACATTTCAAACAATTTTTAAACATGCTTGAAATTGATGAGTCAGATAAAAAGTCTCCTAGCATTTTTTGAAAATTTTTCTAAACAAATTCCATTTTTCTAAATTTGGACACTGCTCTAAAAATGTATTTTATCATTATTTCATTTAATGTGACTAGTCAAAGATCATTGAGTATTTTAATGAGAATTAAAAATGTCCTAAACAATTCAGTTTTAGGTACAAAAGTATTCAATTTGGCATCATATAGCGCTAAATAAAAATAACTTGAATCTGTGAACTTTGATGATTCAAAAAAAGCACTAAATATAAACATTTTACATCAATTATTAATACATATATTTAATGATATAAAACATAAGTGTACATTTTTAATATTTATATTAATGTAATTATTAGGTTAACTATTAACAGATATAAAAAAAAAATATTCATTTATTATATATTTATTTTATAATATATAAAATAAACTTTTTTTATCATCATAAATACTTTTTTTTTTTGCTCTTCTAGTATCTTACACTACAAATTTAATAAAAATTTTAAATAAATCATTTTATGTTTTTTTTTGTAGACTTAAAAAATGGTAAATAAATTGGTAGGTGTCTCTCAGCTCTTATTTCAGCTATGTTCTAAAAATTAGTGGCGTTTGTTCTTTATTTTTTTATTAACCTAGAGTGTGCCTTTTAGGTAGGTACATTTGACCCTGCATATTATACATAATTAATGGAAATCAAACTGTCAAACTATTATATAACGGCTACAACAATAACACCTTAAAGAGGCGTAACCGTAAAAAAACATCATATAAATAGTACTCCTTTCTTGCAAATTTTCAAAAACTAATGACGACATTCGTAATACGCTTTATGACGAACCATGATACAATGCCTTGCAACTATATGAGTCACGGACGTGTACACGTGAACTAAAAAAATTATCTTTTTTTTTTAAATCGTCTAAATAATCCTGAACCAAATTTATCACCTATCATACATACCTAAAGGTTAGATCTAATAAATATTTCACAATGAATTATCTATAGCTTGTGCATTTGTAATACTGGATTTCCAAAACACGGTTGGATTACCTAGTCAGAGACAATATTTCTGAGCTAACTTCTTAAAGATTCGGAATTCAATTGCATTAGCTTAAAAGCTTCTTTTTCCAACATTTGTATACTTGTAATATTGGATTTCCGAAGCATAGTTGGAATACTCAATCAGAGACAATATCTCTGAGTAGAGGTTTGTCTCAGTATACTTCATAAGGACACCAATATTAAATTACATTGTCATTGTCATTGTCATTTGTTGCATCAAAAAGGAATCGCACTATCATCCTTACCCATTCAACCATATTGAATACCAATTTAAATGTTATTCAACGCATCAGAGCTATAATTTACATAGTACAGCATACAATATTTACATTTAACTCTAACAACAAACTTATTGTACTTGTATTTACAACCTCAAAACATAGCTTAGTAACGCGAATATTAAACACTACAGTCCAGAGACATTTTTCGTACACATCAACCACGTATATTGAACTATACAGACTATGAGTAAAATAAGCAAATCATAACATATTAACATAACTTTATTTCAAATATGTTGAACACAAAACATAATACTATAGTAATAGAATAATCGTACACACGCATCCCCATAATAATGATGTAACCACTTTTTTTTTTTCAATTATTGGCGTTTTTATTCTGCTACGGATGATACTCAACTATCTATATTCATTACCCCTTTTCACTATATTATTTATTTATTTTCATTTTATTTTTATTCTACAACATTTTTAATTTTAGTATAAAAGTGCAATAAAAATTATTAAATATTTATATCTTAACAATAAAAAATATATTTTAATATTGAATATTTTATTTATTATTATTTTTTTTTTTTTTTTAAGTTGGAAAGCTTAAGCAAATTAACATTGTACATTTTTGATTGTATCGTACAATTATTATAGTGATATTATCACCACTCAATAAATTATCGAGGTTATAATTAAAATTTAAATATAATATAGGTTAGGTTTAAATTTTAATCGTTACTAGTGATAGGAATACACTGGGTCTCAATCATAAATTAGAATAAGAGTTTTGTCTATGCGCTATGTAATTATTATAAATCAACAATTCGTTTTGTACGTAATAAAAATTTGTTCGAATTGGACGTCATTAAATTCAAAAAGTGGTTATAATTCTAACGTTAAAACAATCTACTGCAGACAAATAATATATGTACGAGATGATGATAATATTATAGTTTAGTTGTTCATATTTTTTATAGTATGAGACATTTATTTTCTGTCTTTGTTTATTTATATTGTAACAATTTCTCAAAGATTTTTGTGTAACTACATAAAGTTTTGTTATCAAGTTTGACGAAAATTCTTCAGCTCAGTACAAAAGTTTTTTGTTATAATAATAGGTATCATGTATGTATTGTTCTAATGTTCAATGATAATGTGATTCTAACCTTAGTTTAAAAAATAGTTTTTTTCACATTTATATAGTCTTATGCATTAAGTTACAGAGTAGGTTATAGAATGGGAATAAACGCCTTTAAATGTAAAAATATTGGTAATTTTAATATTAAGCAGTAATATGTAATGCAATATAATATGATAAAAAAAAAATATGTTTTTATGGATAAAAACGTGAAGTCATAGTTAATAAATTATATTTATCACTCTATCAGTTCTTGGATATTTTATATAAAACTTGAAAGTTAGTTTTATTTGAAAACTTATAAAATTTCCAATTTCTTTTTGTTTTAATTTCTTTTAAGTATTACTTTGATATTGTATAATTTAAAATTTATCTAATTTTGATGACAGGTTTAAATTATCTTTTTTATCATCTATATTATATTATATCATATTTATATTAAAACTGTGTTGTTTAGATCAAATACACTACTCAATAAAGTATACTACATTATAATAGTTTTTTTTTTAATTATAAAATAAATATATTTTATTTTACATATATAACAATAGGTATATCTAAAATTTGATGTTTAATAATCTTAATTTTTTCCTTGATTTTATAGGAACATAATTTAATATTTTTAATTTGATACTCTACATATTATTACAGTTAAGTGTAAATATTTATTATAGATAATACATGAATGAATAAAACTAATACAAGATACTATAAATAAGTATTAATAAATTCAATAATTTATCCCCTAGTATTTACTTTTTAGTTTTATCGATTCACATTTTAAATTATAAGGTTTAAACACCATATAACTTTGCTCAAAAACGTCGATTACAATTTATCATTTGTTATTCATTTTTAAATAATCAGGGATATTCAATAACAGTTATGAAAATACATGAATATAAAGCTATTTTACTGGAAAATATAAATACGTTAAAATTTTAAGTGATTTACTAATAAAAATTTAAACTTTAAAACTTTTTTTGATCTTTATATTCCTACAAAATTGAATGTCATATATTTTGTTCTAATAAATTAAAGATAATATCTCTATCCATTTAATATGTGATTAATACTCTAAAAAATTATGTATAATATAATATGTGCACTTACGTTTATAAAACATTCAATAATATTTAACACTGTAGTCAACACATGATTTTTTGTATTTTAGAGACTGTATTGGATCCTGAATTAGTTCAACCGACAACATCTACTGTGCCAAAAATAAAGACACCTTCACATACAAGACGGAGAAACTACACTAAAATTCAACAACCAATATCTCCTCCAGTTTTTGAGGGCCCGGCAATGTCCAATGTGACAGCTAGATTGGGCGAAAGCACGTTTTTATATTGCACAGTTCAAAACCTGCAACAAAGACCGGTATGTGTACTGATTATATTTAATTATATTTAACAGTATTTATAAAAAATTATAATAATATTGAAAAATAAATAAATTGTTATCAATCGAATAACACAATCTTAGTAAAACTTTTACTATTAAATTTATGTTGTTTTTACAATATTAATTATTAATATTTATTATACTAGTATAACGTTGAGCTATCATTATATATTATTTGTTATATTTGTTAAAAAAAAGATAATTCTATTGAGTTCTTTGGCTTGGTTTTTTGAAAAATATACCAATATTGATAATATAAGTTATTAATAAACGTACTAAAACATTGAGTTAAAAAAAAAAAAAAATAAAAAATAACTCGATTTTTACTTTTTAACTTCTGTAATCAAATTGTTCAGGCTTAGTAAACATTCCCAATAAGTTATTATCTTCCTTGATATTCAAAACTTAGGCCACCAAACAAAATTCAATAAACTTTTCTTCGTTTACACTTTTAGTAATAACTATTCATTTAAATTTCCAATTATTCAAATTATATTTATTTTTTTTTTTATCAGATTAATATTGATTTGTGTATTACCAAAACTATTTACTTTATTTTAAACTATTTGCCAAAATTTCTTAACATCATTATGTAATTTGTTTTTAAAAATAATTTTTTTATATGTTATAATTTTTAATACCCACTTCTAATTAAATTACCATGAATAAAATGCATTATATTTTCGTATTTAAATTGATTCTCGATGGCGCAATTAACAAATAAATTAATACAATATACAATTGGTATATATATAAAATTAAAAATACATTTATTGAAGAATTAAATAGATGTAATAATAAAAAGATTCAAAATTTTACACCGGTATTAGATCATACTTATAAATTATACTAATATGAAAGCCATAAAATGTGTTTACATTTCATTGATAATCTAAGACTCAAAAAATGTCTTATTCATGTATACGTATAATATAAATATATATTATATTTATTATGATGTTAAAATATAATATTTTATATCAACTAAAGACATTATTTATAATATTGTATGAACTCCAGGAATAAATTTCAATTACTCAAATAATATATTATTATTTTATATATCATAAATAATATATATTTTTACACTGTACCTATTATATTTTAATATATAAGTAATCAAGACTAAGTATTTAATTTCAAGAGTTGATAATAATAAATAAACCAAAACATTATGTTTAAACATAATATAATAGATACTACCTATGTTAATTCTTCAATCGCCAAAAGTGAACCTCATTTTATAAAATATTACATTCCAGGTATTACTAATGGATGATATACAATTCTTCATAATATACTTTTTGCCTATCTGATTCCAAACATTTTCGTAGTGTAAACAATTTTTTTTTTATCTGACCAGAATGTTACATACATTTCGCATGAAAATTGTTATGACATTGCCAGATGTGGTAAAAAAATACATATAATTATAATAATAATTAAAAAAAAGAATAAAAAAGTAGGGCAATTTTTGTCAGAAGAGCAGCATTACTTTGAAAATTACAATATATTTATTAGGATTGAAATAATAACCGATAAAACTCGATAAAATGTATAATGTTGACTATTCTAATAAGCTTGAATTTGAAGTAAAATCATTTGATGTATGAAATTATTTTTTGAAATACAATCGAAAATTAATTTTGCGTGGAGTTTTACTAATGAAAAGGTATGTGCAGAATCGTGAAACACTGTTACTAATAATAATTAATATACTTAGCTATATCTTTTCAAAAAGTTTTCAATTCAATATTTAATAGGTAATTAAATATAATTAAAAGTCGTCATTATATTATTTCATTCGAATTTTAAATTAAGTCAATTTACAGTATTTTATAAAGAATGTTGAAAATAGTTCTAATAATTTTTTCTTATTTCTTATTTTATATTATTTTTCTTTTCCTAAATATAAACTAATATTTTAGTTAATTGGATTAACAGTTACTTATTGTTAAAATTTTACTTCATTCTTACTAATTTATATTTAAGTCATTATTTATAAATTATAATATTTGTGTCAAATTAATATATTTTATCTATTTTTTTTTTTTAATGATGAAAAATAGTTAATTCAATGTAAGTAGTATATTATGTCGTAACTCTTACAATATTAAATTGACGATACGGCATGACGTGTATCGTAAGAAAAGCATTTTTATAGTAAGTGTAAATGGCAAGCGATGATTTTTTTTACCGTTTTATAAAAACAAAATGTCAAATTAGTGTCTAAACATTATAATTTTTGTAAAAAATTTTGTTCACTTTATGTATATGAATACACAATATGTATTGTTGATAAACACTATAAACTACTTCTTGAATCAATACTTGTGCACATATTTATCTTTACTAACTTTTTAAGGTGTTTTTCACTCAACAATTATAAGTAAACAATTAATCAAAAATACTATGAGTAAAATATAATACGATATTTGGTATTTTAAATGATAATAAATATTATTACATCCATTAATATTAAATATAGGTATTGAATAAAAATAAACGTAATAAAAAATAACAGAAATAGAATAATGTTCATTAAAAATTATTATAATGTTTGATATTTAAATATGATATAAAAGATAAATTAATAATCAGTATTGTTAAATGTTTTTTTTTTTTTTTTTTTATAAACTTAATAATAAATATCTGATATAGATAAATGTAACGTTTATTTTATATGGATATTATAGAAATGTAATTCGCTAACTACACATTTCTTTTATAATGATTTAATTTTTTTTTTTTTTTTAATTGGTTTTAATATCCGATAGTTCAGCGAAGTTGATATTTAGTTGGCAATGATATTGACATGTACTCGATTGTAGGCAATAAGTAACTTCCCTAACAGTTCATGTTCGGTACGTTGTGATTCAAAAACTACACTGTGTTAATTGGCATAGAAATAAAAGTAATACGTTTTACAATAATTTTTTATTGTTAAGCATTGAACATCTTTGATAAGATGTTGTGTGGGTCTTTGAAAAAAAACTGTACCATTACTAGCTGTACAAATGTCAATCAATTTAACAGATGTAGTTTACATGACTAGTAATTACATATCAGAGTAGTGCATAGCAAGTGCTGTTATTTAAATGGTTATTTTATTTTCACGATGAGATAACATACGTTTAAACCTACGACAATCCTCTTTTCTAAAACGAGTGTGAGATAAATAATATTTATTCTTAGTTCATAAAATGGAAATTCTTCTAATACGACATTTTTTATAATATGTCTATTGTTTTATTTATCTGACACACAATTTCAAAACTGTCCCAAGAAATTTAAAAATTTAAAATAAAAATAAGATAAAAATATAGGTTTTTGATTGTTTTTAGTATCTGAAATCTGATCATGACATACAATATTTTTTATTATTACCTACCATCAAAAAAATATTATATTATACCCTATTTTAATACCATTTCTAGTAGTCTTTTCTATAGATAACCATAAAGAATTATCACTACTTTTCTGTGAAATATCCATCATTCCTAAAAAATCATTTTATAACATCTCTATATTACATGCAAGGCTGCAAAAATTATTTTCTAGTCAATTTTCTTAAATAAATTGCATAAAAATAATAACCAAGTACTTGTAACTATAATTATCTGTATTTATAATAAATGACTACTTTCTTTAACACAAAATCCAAACATTATATTTAAAGAAAATGTTTTTTTTTTTTTTTTTTGACATCGACAGATCGTTAAAAAATAAATGTTAAAAAAAAGATTTGTATAAATATTAACCTAACATTACATAAGATTGTACTTTGAAACTTTCAATTTCTAACCAATCTAATAATAATTTTTTTTTATTTGTGATATAATAAGTACCTATACTAGAATTGTAGAAATATAAATATTTTAAAATCCTGACTCTTTTATTGTATTTGAAATACAATAAGTTTTTCCTATTACCAACTGCAAATATATAAATATATTATACATGGATTTAAAAGAATTTATTTACTTTAACATTTTGAATTTAACCAACTTTCAAAACAAATCAAAACTTTCTATTCATAGTCAAAGTATTAAAATATATTTACACATGTATTTTACAGTGTATACGTTTTTTGTAGATCTATGCGCATTATAAAAAATTTAATTTGGTTTCATATCCAATATTTTAAGCATATTAATACTTACGTGTATTTTGTGTTTGATATGTATTACAAATTTACCAAGTTCATTTTGGTATTTATTTTATTATAAACTAGGTACATAAGTTTTAAATTTTATGTACATCGTAAATTTTGGATAAAATCGTAAGATTAGGAATAAATGTATTATAAAATTAAAATATTTAGATACTTCAAATTAATATAAGACAATAGTTTGTTAAATTCTTAAATCAATAAATTTTAACTTTTTTTTAAGATTTAAATTATTTCATTTTAATAAACTAGTTTATATTATATAAGTGATTCAGTTATCATAGTACATAAATCATAAAATTATAATATATTATATAAAATATTTGAAAAAGAAAAGCAATATCAAATAAATGTTTCATAAAACACATCTGAACAAAATTATAAACTTAAAGTATAATTAATTAACTTTGTACGTACAAAATTTAAAAATGTTCGTTAATAAAATATACCAGTCGTCATACATAAACGTTTTTTGTGTCTAATTTTTGGTACATTATTATCATTATTTTTTTATATATATATATATTATATTGTAGCTCACATCATGTTTGATAATCTTTTTAAGCTATTTTAGGAATAAATACTGTTGACAACCTTAACATTTACCATATACTACAAAATGCTGCCTAGTCCTAAAAAGATCAAATCTCGGTTGTATTAATTAGTTACCTACCATCTATAATGAAATAAATTTTACCAATAGTATAATATTAACATGAAAGTGTAGAACATCAACAGATAGTACAATTACTTTAATTTAAAAAATACAAATCATTATTATGAGAATCATATATTAATATTTATA